AATCCTTTTTCTCTCCTGTTTCTCCCACTACCTGTAACAGTGTCAGCACATGGTAGATGCTCAGTAACTATTTGTTGCATGAATAAACAGCTAGCATGAAGTGCCAGGCACTGTTATAGATAGATGCTTCCCATGAATGAACTCAGTTTAACTTTCATGACCAATGCTGAGACGGGCACTATTATCCCAATTTTACAGATGAAGAAACTGAGTCAGAGACACAGAGATATTAAGTCACTTGCCTAATAAGTGATGGGTTCAGGATTTCAACCTACACCGTCTAACTCTAGAACCTGCCTTCATAATCTCTATTTTATACTGAGGCTCAGAGAGGTTAAGTTGGGCAGCTTAAGACTGGCAGGGCCATGACTAGAAGCGAAGTCCGCCTGCCCCTTCCTTTACACTTCGCGGCTTAATAGGATTGCCAAGACAACTATCTCTTCCGTCGTCATTTTACCAGAGGCTAGTCTCCTGAGATAAAGAAATGGGTGTGGTTCATTAAGGATTCAGATAAAGATAACACACATCGCCCCAAAGAATCACGAGTCCCAAAAGATCACCCAACAGTCTGCCACCTGTTCTCACTGATACATTTTTTGCTTTTGAATTTTATTTTATTTATTTTTTTATACAGCAGGTTCTTATTAGTTATCCATTTTATACATATGAGTGTATATATGTCCATCCCAGTCTCCCGATTTGAGGCTGGAGGGAACTGAGAGCAGCAGCTAGCAGATGAGTCATGGGAACCCCCTGGTGGATCCGTCTATGCTGAGAGCTAGGCACTGAGGTTAAGTCACTTTCAGGCCAGGCAAATCCCGACCCGTGCTGCCCTAGGTAGCTCTGGAGTAGGGATGGTGTAGAGATGCTGATAAAGCATTTCTGGGAGACTGGTTCATAATTCATTGTATGACCTTGTGTAAGACACTTCCTCTCCTTGTGTCAGTTTCTTTAGGTTAGGGAGGTGTCAGTGGAACTTTGTGTTGAATCACAAGAGCTCCACTTTATCTCTTATATATTGGACTTTTCCACATAAAGTTTCATTGGGAGAAAGGATTCTACACTAAAAACTATGCTTGAAAATCCACTGAATGAAACAGTATTTAAATTCCTTCTAGCTCAAACATTCTAAGAACTTAAAAACATAGACACTGTCCTTTGGGTCTGGTCAGTGTTCCATTCAGCCCTACTTTCTGCAGCCAGGAAGAGGCCCAGGGATCTGCTGTGAGGGGCCATTCACAGGTCCCTTTTGCCCCAGCCTCCCGCAGACGCTATTACCCCTGTCTTCACGTGGCAGTTGTCTTCCCCATTGGGCCTTCTACTTATGTTACTTGCCTATGTTGAGACGGAGAAAGTGTAACTATGCACAATAGTACTTGCAGGACAGCCGCACCTCTGTTTTGTTCGAAAGGAATAGAACACTTACTGAGTCTGGGTTTCACATATACAAAATGACTCCCTTCTTATAACGTTTTTTTTTGTTGTTGTTGTTGTTGTTGTTTGCGGTACGCGGGCCTCTCACTGTTGTGGCCTCTCACGTTGCGGAGCACAGGCTCCGGACGCGCAGGCCCAGCGGCCATGGCTCACGGGCCCAGCCGCCCCGTGGCACGTGGGATCTTCCCAGACCGGGGCACGAACCCGTGTCCCCCTGCATCGGCAGGCGGACTCTCAACACCTGCGCCACCAGGGAAGCCCCTTATAACGTTTTAAAACAAGCAAAAATAGCCTTAAGTTGTTAGGTGTGTGTGTTTGCATATTTTTTTAAAAAAACAAGGTAATGATAAATAAAAAATTCAGGATAGTAGTTACCTCAGAGGGAGAGAGAGATCAAAACAAGGAGACAGAACAGAGGAAGAAGACATAAATCAGGTGACCATATAAGTGTGAATTTCTTGCTGGATTGTTTATTGTATTCTATTTGTCTGTCTGTCTATCCTTGCACTAATACCACATGCCTTTTCATATCACTTATCAGTTTCAGTCACTTATCAGTTTTTCTTATGGTTAATAATTTTTGTATCCTGTTTAAGAATAACCCGAGATCATGAAGATATCCTCCTGTATTTTCTTCTAAAGCCTGCTTGATTTTGATTGGAATTGCATTGAATCTAAAAATAAATTTGGGGAGAATATTAAAAAAAAAGAAGACATAAGTCAAACTAAATTATTAGGAATGTTATAGTTCTTGGGTTAGGTGATGGTTCTATGAGTGTTCACTGTATTTTAAATAAATAAATAAATAAGAAATATCCATATATAAACTAGTAATGATGAATTCTGCACCCCTGAAGTTCAAAAACAATGATTACAAGAGCAATGCGAGGTTTGTTTTTTTTTTTAAAGTTAACCAGAATCTATAATATACTCTAATTTTCTCTTTCTTTCCAATACATCAAGGGCTTTTTGAAACTCTTAAGTGGATCATAGCTATAGGTTTGCCTCTCTCCGAGTTTACTTCTCCCTCAATTATTGTCCATAATTTAGTCAGGTTGGAATTTCCTTGTTGAAAAATATGTTGCATTTCCCCACAGGCTATTTTTATATAGGATTCGTTGATCCTCATCTTTATCTTGGGCCTTGCATGCTAGTTTGTATAGATCTAAGAATTACTGGCTACGTCCTGAATCATTTTGGGCGAAAGGCCACGATTGCTTGTTCCAGTCTTCCAACCCCATGACCATTAATAAGATTGGGTTCTGTCCAGGGTTGCCAGATAAAATTCAGGATCTTCAGTTAAATTTTAATTTCAAATAAACAACAAATAATTTTTAGTATATGTATGAATTTGAGGCATACTTATACTAAATAATAATTTTTATTTATCTGAAATTCAAATTTAATTGGACATTCTATTTATATATTTTCTTTTTACGTAAATATATATTCAATATATTTTTATTTGCCAAATCTGGAAACCCTATCTCATTCGAGCCAGTAAGTACTCTTCAATGTCACTGTTGGTTTTGGGTCCCAGGGAGTGTGAGTTTGGGAATTGGACAGACAGCCAGGTTCAAATCCTGGCTCCTCCACTCAAGAGACAGAACTTTTTTTTTGGCCTCAGAATTCTTATCTATTAAATAGAAATGATAGCAATACCTCATGAGGTTGTTGGGAATATTAAAAGAGACGATATTTGCATAGTACTTAGTACAGGGCCTGGTACCTACTAAGCACTCAGTAGCTGTTATCATTACTATTGTCAATTTTATACAGAACATTATGTGCACTGGCCAAGATTTAACCTAGTACTGTAAAATTCTACATTTACAGGATTAATTTGGGAATGGGACTCAGTGTCTCCTTTGGTGATGACCAATGCAAAGTGGCATCTAGCCCCTTCCTTTTTGTTTTTGAATACTTCTTTTGGCCCCATGTCATGAAATGCCGCAGATTCATTCTCTAATTGCTTTTTCCTTTTAATGTAAAGGCTTTTTTGTGCATGTGTTTGGAGGTCACTTAGAATTCCTCAAGTTGGAAGCAACTGTCTTCCCCTAAGGAGGTGCTTGAGTGATTGAGAATCGCCTTTGAAATGCCACCTCAAGCCAATGAGTAATGAGTTTGGCTGATAAAAGGGAGCAGACCCTTTACATTCTCTTCTCTGACCCACCCATTCCCATCAAAACTGACCCACCCACTTTCCCATCTGTCCTGGCATCTAATCAGACATGCTAATGGCTAAAAAAGATTCTATTTAATCCCCCTCCCAAGATAGGCTTTTTTTCAAAACCCTAAACCTGAAAAAGTAAGCCTAACACTGGCTTCCTAGCAGATAAGGGTGACCATGTGGGACCCCTTAAATCACACCCAATTATCAGCAGCTTGTTCTGCCTGCTTTGCATGAATGGAAGGGAGCAGTAGCGCAAATAATCTAAAGATCATTTCCACTTGGTTTGGGAATGCACCACATGGTGTTGTTGTAGCTGATTTGCTTTGCTAATTTTGTTCTACTCAAGCTAATATTGAGATTGGTTCACATTTTTGTGTGTGTGTGTGTGGTACGTGGGCCTCTGTTGTGGCCTCTCCCGTTGCGGAGCACAGGCTCCGGACACACAGGCTCAGCGGCCATGGCTCACGGGCCCAGCCGCTCCGTGGCACGTGGGATCTTCCCGGACCGGGGCACGAACCCGTGTCCCCTGCGTCGGCAGGCGGACTCCCAACCACTGCGCCACCAGGGAAGGCCCTGGTTCACATTTTTTAAGCTCATCTGGGCCAGAAGAGGGAAGAGATAGTGGTGTGGCCCACTCTGAGATGAAGGAAAACTGACCACCATCATGAAGGGGACATGAACATTCTATGTGAGGGCTAACAGATGGAGAAGATCAGTGCAAAAGGATCAAGATAGAACTTTGCGAATTACACATGGGCAGAATAGGCCCACCTACCCCGTGGGCACTGAAAAGCCAGTCTTCCCAATGGCCTTCCCAGAATCTGAAATTCTCTTCATTAATAGCCTACATAAAGGGTGGTAATCATGCAATAACTGTAGTTAAAGCGTTATGTAACCTAAGAGGAGTAACATTTCCCAGAAGACACATTAGCAGTTCATCTGACTAAATCATCAGTCACTATTGTCACCTTGTAGAAAAAGCACTGAAGGGGTGAGACACGAGACAGTTCTACCTTGATGGGGCCTGGGGTATACTAAGAAGCCCCTGGGCAGCTATGGTGGAAGTACAGGAGCGCTTGGGTGATTTGGGGGGTGGGCTGGAAGGGTTGCTGAAGGAGAGTTAGACAACTTTCACCTCTTTCCTTCCCACGTTTTTCTTAGTTTCCTGCTCATGATAGACATAGAGAATATGCAGATGTCTCAAATAAATTCTTCCCTTTCTTATTCTTTTCCTGCTGGGCAACTGGACTTTCAAGGGCTTCTAAAGATTTCAGAGATCGTTGGTTTTCTTTCTGTCCTTTAGAGCCTAACTATACATTGCATTTCCAGCCCTACAAGCTGCAGCAAGGGACCATGGGGCTATTGAAATTTCTTTCTCTTTTTCTCATTGCAGTCTGCTCCCAGTTCTCGAGAGGGGTGTATGCCATCTTTGGATTCTATGACCAGATGTCAATGAACACTCTGACCTCCTTCTGTGGAGCTCTGCACACATCCTTTGTCACACCCAGCTTCCCCACTGATGCAGATGTGCAGTTTGTCATCCAGATGCGCCCAGCCTTGAAGGGCGCTATTCTGAGTCTTTTGGGTCACTACAAGTGGGAGAAGTTTGTGTACCTTTACGACACAGAAAGAGGTAAGAAGAGGCATGTGCTCTCCTCTTTGAATATTCATGTAACAGTGGTGTTCAACCTTCCTCAACTCATGCTTGTCCCCTTCTCTTCCAATAAATCTCATATTCTTTTAAAATTGTAATTAATATTCAAAATGAATTTAAGAGTGAGGCCAAAAAAGAATCAAGACAATAGCAATTTTAGAATCTAGTTTTTCAAATTGTACATGTCCTCCCACCCCCAACTTTGAAAAGGGGTTTCAGATTATCCTCCTGGTTGAACCACTGTTGTTGAAAAAGAACCTTTCCCCCTCCCCAAAATAATTTATCTGGTTTGCGTACACAAATTAAAAGCAGCTTAGTCTAAAACAGAGAGAGGCCTAAGCTGGAAAGGTTTTGGAGAATTAATCCTGCCAGAGACTATAATTATTCTCATCTCATAGATGAGAAAACTGAAGCCCAAAGAGGAAAAGTGCTTTTTCACACAGTAGTTTAACCACAGAGCTGGGACTGGTGGCAATGTCTCCGGCTTCCAGATCACATTAGGTGTCCAGATTATGGGGCTTCAACAATTATCTGATGGAAATAATGAATGGAGACTGGCTAAACCGGGTTTTGGGGGTGGATAGTTTTTCTAATAGTGAGACATACTATATTGAATCCATTGAGGACAATTATATTGAAACAGTCTCAAAAATTAGGGGTCTGATCTTAAATGGTATACAGTTAGGTATATACATCATAATGCAGCTAAACAGACTCCTCTAAAACCCAGTTATCTTTGAGGGCTTCCTCAGTGAAAGCAAGGGATCCTATCACCGTGAGATTCCAAAAGATGACGTTACTTTATCACTTGTTTGCTTGTAATCCAGGTTATACACAGGGAATGGCTCTCTCTGACTCAGGACTTTCTGACTCAGAGAAAGAAGGAGCAAATGGAAGTCCTATATCTGCCTGAGGGGTCCCTGGAAATGACATGCTTATAGGTAACTTAACTTGAAGGGCCATTTTGTTTCTAGGAATCCAGAGTACTCTTCACTTCACTCTCATTTTGATTCATCATCAAACCCTGTCAGGAAACACTAAGGCCTGTATTTGCTTATGGTACTTACCTCCAGAATATTATCAAATTTCATGAACCTGAAGCAGGAGAGCAGAGTTCTAGTCCATGCTCTGCCACTAACTAGCTCTCTGACCTTGACCAACTCATTCAATCTCTCTTGGCCTTGATCTCCTCACCGAAGCTATGTCCCTTCTTAATGTAATATCTATGACTTCTTTAATATTATACTAGACATAGGACACTTTGTATCTTATTACTAATCCTAACTTACATCTTATCAGTTAATTAGTCAACCAATCTACAAGCTGTTATCAATCCTCAATGGTTTATTCAAATCTTGTGATACATGCTTATATAATGCTGTTCCAGTAGGGGTAGACAGAAAAGGACATTCATGAAACAATTCATGAACGACTTTCAGAGCAAAGTATCAAACTCAGTACCAAATTGAGTGCTACCCTACAGATTCTGATTGCTATGAGAATTGTGAAAAGGTAGCACTAGAGTTTTTGAAGGCTGGCTAGAGGAGCCAGGCCTTAAAGGATGTGTAAGCTGTGGATTGGAAGAGAAGAAGGAAATGGACTTTGGGGAAGAGGAAAAGAACTTGAACAAAGGGCAGAATCGGGAAGGAGCGCTGTGTGTTCCTACAGATCTTTGCCTGACTAGAGTACCAAAATAGTTTGAATGTTCTAATTGACAGTTTGCTAAATTTTAATGCATTTCATTTCTTTCAAACACTGAGGATGAATTAGCCTATTTCCATGTACTATATACAGTGTAGTCTGGTGCATAAAAATCTAATTTTCAGAACTGAAGTTTGTAAATTAGACAGCTTCTCTCCTGAAACTTTTTAAAGCTAAATATCAGTTCTGCTAATGCTGTAGCCTCTCATTTATTGAAAAGCAGGAGACACAAGTTAATGTATTCTCTCCTCATCTCCCATGACCCTCCTTTGCCCACTAGCTCTCTATTAGAGGAAAGGAAGCAAACGTCCATCTCTGTCTGTTTCTTAATCTGCATTTTTTTCTCAAATCTTCTCACTAAATAGTTTGTTCAATTCTATGGTCTTAGAGCCAAAAGAAACCTTTCTGACTTGTGTGTGTTCATATTTTTTCCTCTATAGCCATTTAGCTGGTGGGATTAATCTGCTCTGCTTAAGAAGTACTTTCCATAAAGTTTTATACTAATTTCCTCCTTGGAAAGCCTTCTTAAAACACTGCATATTATGACCCTGTTCCAAAAGTTTCAATGGTTTCTATTGCCCACATTGAAAAGTAAAAGTAGTCTGTTTCTTAAGACTCGACATAATTATGCATCAACCAACCAACGAACCTGTTGTCTTAACGTTATGTTACTAGCGAGAACTTTCCACTGCAGGCAGCTCCCGTTTTCCACTGTTGCCCAAATGTGCCAGAACCATACTTGCCTCAGCAACTGCACTTCTACTACCTGGAATTCTTTCCATCTTGATTATGAAAATCCTTCCTTGCCTATCCTTCCATTTTTCAAAACCCACTTCAAACTCTACCTCTCCAAGGTAGCTTTCCCTGACCACTCCAGTGCACAATGATTCATTCATTCATTCATTCAATAGGTGGCAAGGTTAAAATGATGAACAAGATAGACATGTCTCCTGCTGTTATAGAGCTTACAGTCTAATAAGGGAGATAGAAAAAAATAAGTAAGCCAACAAATAAAATAATTATATATTTAGGTAAGGTGCTATGAAAGAAACGAAGAGACAGATACTAATGGATAGGACCTAATTTTAAAAGGATTCTCAGTGACAGCCTCATTGAGAAGGGGCATTTAAGCTGAGAACTAAAGAAGTAGAAGGAGACAGCCATTTGAAGAATATAGAGAAAGAGTTTTCAAGCAGTGGAAATAGCAAGTGCAAAGGCCCTGCGGCAGGGAAGAGCTTGGTATGTTTGAGGAACTGAAAGAAGACGAGTGTAGCTAAAGGGTAGTGAGGAGGTTGCGAGTGGCCTAAGATGAGACTATAAAGGTAAACAGAAGCCAGATCATAGCCATGGAGTACAGACAGGAGCCAAGATAAGGAATATGAATTTTATTCTAACCGCAATGTGAAGTCATTGGAAGATTCTGAGCAGGGGAGTCACATGATCTCATTTAAGTTTCTGTAGAGAATGGAGTGTGGTGCAAGAGTGAAGGAAAGGAAATGAATTAAAAGGCCATTGTGGTCATCCAGGTGAGAAATGATGGCAGCTTAGACTAGACTGGAGATGGAGAAAAGTAGACAGAGTTGAAGTGTATTTTGGACACAGAATCAACAGAACTTGGTGACAGATTGACTGTGGCACGTGAGGGAAAGAAAGGATTCGTGGGTGACTACTAAGCTTTTGGCTTGACAGACTGGGTAAGGTGGCGACGCTATTTACTGCGGTGACTGAGGGCAGGAGGTGAAGCAGTCTTAAGGAGCAGAGACCTTGCCCACCTCTGAATGCCCACAGAACGCTCTTGTCCATATCATTCACTTGGCACTTACCTGCTTTCTGTTGTTATCTCACTGGGTCTGCTATCTACCTTCCCAGGAGCTTCTCTCCATTATGATAGTCAACAATTGCTTAGCCCCTAGGTTTAGACTTTGTGCCTCCTCTGGTTTCTAGCACAGGCCTGAGTCCATATTTAGTGTTTTCCCAATTCCATTAGTGATTCATCCAGAATAAGCCCACGTCTTTTTTTTTTAATGTTGGACTGAAAGAAAGAGACAGAAAAACCAAGAAGGGAGGGAGGGAGGATTAGAGGGAAGGAAGGAGGGAGGGAGAGAGAGAAGGAAGGAAGGAGGGAGGGAGAGAAGGAAGGAAGGAAGGAAACAAAGGAAAGGAAAGGAAGGGAAAGGGAAAAAAGGAGGGAGGGAGGGAGGAAGGGAGGGAAGAAGGAAAGAAGAAAGAAAGAAAGAAAGAAAAGAAAGAAAAAGAAAGAAAGAGAGAGAGACAGGGAGGGAGGGAGGAAGGAAGGAAAGAGAAAACCCAATTTATAACTGAAGCTATGTGGTATCATTCTTTAAAATATTCAATAATGTATCTATTCTGCATTTTCTCTTTTTCTACAATGATCATCTCTTGCTTCAGTAATAAACATTATGGGGAGAAATTACAACTGCAAAGTGTAATTTTAGAAGTTTTTAGATTACATAAGAGAGAAATGAAAGACAGAGACAGAAGGGAGCACCTATAATTACATTCAAATAAGCTAAATATACAAATGATGTGACTCCACTGCATAAGGGCAGGGATGAGTGAGGAGCTGAGAAATGGGTTAAACACTTGAGATCATTTAAAAGATTTACAGCACAATCAGGGTAATTTTATCTCTGAAATTATGAAACATTGAGTGGATTTCAAGGCTTTGTTAGTTACACTTTGATTTCTGTCTGCTGAGTAAGGTCTGATTCTGTGTTTGCAGGTCATCACTTTGCTTAGTTACTAAAATCACCACCCTGGTTTGTTAATACAAAGCTGAAATTTATGCTCTTGGTGCTATATACGTCAAAAGTGAGCTCTTGGGAAAGTCATGAGGTTTACTAAGTGTGATATCTGCCCCCTTTGTACCCTCTTCTCTTTATCGACCCCCTTTTTTTTACTTGTCTATGCCTGCCCTCTCTGGCTTGACATCTCTGTCCTAACCTGCCTCTACACCTCCATAAAAACTCTTCCACTTTGCTATTAGACCTACCTTTTGGGTGCAAGTGACCTAGCTCTCTGTGGTGCTAACATTTCCCCCAGAGCAGCAGCTTGCTTGAGAACTGCAGCCAGACTCCCTCGTGCACCTGACAACTCTCCTCGGCTTCAATGGGCACAGCCCACAGAGATGAAAGAATCCGGCCCAGCCTGTGGCTCTCAGCTTAGATAATGAGATAATAGCTCTAAGTGCCCTTTGAGGCAACTAGTCCCTGCCTTCTTGTCAGTGTTCAATAAACTCCTGCTGTTTCCTATTCTCA